TAATTTTTGTTAGTTTATATTAAAAATAAATTTTAAATATAAAAACAATATAAAATATTAAAAATGTTCTTAAGTAACCTTGTACTATATGATTTCAAAAATATTTTTTTAAATTTTTATAATATTTAAATAATTATATATTAAAAAAACCAATTCCAAAAATTTATGACTTACACTGTATGTATTGTTTAAAAGCTGGATTCAAAAAAATCATATCTAGCATTTTTGTCACTTTGAAAAATAATTACCCATTTATTGGTTTTATTTTTATTATTGTTTATATGTATGCTTTATTTATTTATTTTTATTAAAATTTTTTTAATTTTTTAATAAAAATTTATAAAAATTTATATTTTTGTTAACAAATATTGAAATTTTCTATATTTAAAATTTTAATTTAATTTATATTAAAACAATGATAATTCCATAAGATATTATAGTGATCAATAATTTTCGCGCAAATTTCGCGAATTCGTGACGATCCTTATTTTTTTTTATAATTTAAGGATTTTCTCGAAAACTAGCGATTTATTTAGATAAAATTTTAAAAAGATGGATTTTATATAACATATTAAAATATTATTTAAATTACTTTGCTAGTTTTTGTTAAACGATAAAAAATTATCCCGTCGGTCACTTTCTAGCAAATATTAAACACGTGTTATAGTAGATTTTTATACTAATATAAGGGATTTCCGTAATTCGGAAATTTCACTCAAAATCATTGTATGTGCACCTGCACAGGGTGCCGTAAGGGTGACGCACAAGTAGTGCATAAACAACACCCCCTCTGCGGCCGAAAATAGCAACTAAAACTCTGATAATTTGGCATCAAGTGACGTATTTTCTCCGAACCAATAAGCTTAAATTGTATCACATATATTCATTCATAGTGAATTTCGAAATCATGCCAAGAGAAAAATAAAGCAAAAAAGAAAAGAAGAAAATGTAAAATGAAAGAAAAAAAAAATGAAAGAAAAAGAACGAAGGCAAAAAAAAAAAGCGAAACTTGAACATAAATAAAAATAAAATTTTGAATTTCTCGATATTATGATAATTTACACATTAACAGGGAATGTCACGAAAACAATAATAAATCCAGTGAATTTTACCAATCAAGCTTTTTGGTACCATAGCATTTCATATCGAAGAAAGATGGCTTTAATTAATGTATCACAATATTACTTGGTTCCCTTGAAATTTTATAACTTCAAAACGTATACAGCAGTATCCCGTGAATAAAAAAAAAGTCAATCCATACAATGCGCTCAAATTAATTCAATTACTATCCTAGAAGTTTCAAAGTCTGTTCTCACAATTAGATAATACTTTTTTACTCAATTGAGTTAATAACTTATCATGCGAAGTGCAATCTCCCCAGAATGGCTATAAATAGAAACAACAACAAAAATGTATCCATCATGCATTTAGAATATACTGCGTGATTTAATCTGAAAATCATAAACTTTTTCCGATTTATTGTAATTACGTCGGTGGAAATTGGTCTCCAGGACGAATCGCGTTTAAAGTGTTCAAATAGTGCAAGTTTGGAAAAGAAAAGTTCCATACCTCGGAAAGCATACTCAAATTTATAAAAGTGTTTTGAGGTATCAAGACCGACGAAAAAGAACAAATACAAAAAGATTCTGCCATTTCAATTTCAATAAATTCGTTTTCTCTATCCATGGATAATCGAAAAGAACTTTACGATTCTATCATTGTTAAAGTACCTTATCCGCCAACAGTCACGGCTGAAGATCTGTTTAATTTGCGGAAACCTACAAAGAACGGAAAACCTCCATCTAAAGTAAGCAATAGCTTCATGGTTTACCGCGGAGAATTTTATAAAGAATTAAGGAAGACACATCGCGGCATACCACAATACGTAGTATCTCGCGTGGCGTCGAATTCATGGAAACTAGAACCCAAGCAAGTCAAAGAGAAATATCTTAAAATCGCTCGAGATTTGGATATGCTGTTCTTGGAATCAAGCGAAAAAGCGAATTTTCAGTTCCAGTCTTTGCTTCTAACTCCCGTCGCCTCTAATCTTGATTTGTCGTACTCTCAACATCCGATTTCTCAGGAATTCAACCCTGACTTACCATATATTCAGGGCAAGTCACCGACAGAAAAACATACTTTAAATGTTGAATCATCTCAAGATGACATGTACCCATACTATATACCTTCTCAATATGAAAGTTTTCTCTATCAAGAAGCGTACACAAATTATTTTTGCCAAGAGAATTTAGATTTGTATACAAGCTTTACGATACAACCAGAACATTCCGAACAAATATACTGTGACGTGAACTTGAATCTTTATTAATACTATTATCTCTTAATAGTAAGAAAAGAAAAGAAAAAAATTAAAAGAAAAACCCCCCAAAAAATTAAAAGAAGGAAAAAATTACGAAGCCTTATGTACTGTATTTATTAAGTAAACCAATATTTAAACATAATAAATTCACAATAAAATTACGCGTTTTTCAAAATAATAATCTCGTTGAAATGTGTGTTCTTTAAAAAAAATTTTTTTAAAGGTTAATATATAAGGAGAAAACTCATAGAAAATTGGAATCTGCTCGATATGTGATCCTTGGGCCTTTTTCATTTGTCACAATTAATATTCTATTCCGAGCTACTTATTTAGTTATTATATTGAACATCTCTGTCGTATATTGTAACAAAATGCTAAATCTGGCGATGATTTGCAACATTGTGATATACAATGTGATCAGAGGCTTCAAATTAACAACGGCAGTAAATTAGATCAGAGCTTAGTCTGTGCTGTACACTTTCAAGTGAAATTTCCGCACAGTGATAATTTCCAAGGATTCTACGTGAGTGATTCAACTGAAATACAGTTTTTGCAATTTAAAATAATAATTTAATTTTGTTTTGTAAATTTAACTTAGCAAATAATTAAATTTTTTTATATAATGTTATATAAATAAAATATAATTTTTTTTAAAGGATTAAGTTGCAATACACATATGATTTTATTAATGAATCAATAATGATCACAATTATCTTATACATGAAGAGTTTATTTAGCTATTGCTAGTATTAATTCAAGCTTTCCATCTTTTTTATCAAAATACTAACTAACTTATACTATAGTATAAAAGTAGATTCATATCTTGACTTTTACTACTATGGGATAGTTTTACTAATTGCTTATGCAAGTACTTATCACCTTGCACCTTTGCCACCACAAGCTGTAGAACAGCAGACAGCCCTTGACACAAGTATGTACTTCCTAATGAATGTTTTGATTAATCACTAATTAATACTGACTACCAAATTTAAAAGCTTTTTTGATCAAGTAGAATGGGACTTTTTAAGGAACTTTGTCTTTTAAACTTTTAATAAATACTTTATTCAGGTTAATTGATATAGACTGCCAAATCTAGAAATACAAATATCAAGCAGGATGCAATTTCTATATATTTTGTTTCACTATATTATTGTCATTAAAAGTACATAAGTAATATTGATAAAGTATTTATCTTCATGATTTTCTTACTTTAATAATTGAGTTCAACCACTATAGGCAACTTCTGATGATAATTGAGTTCAACCACTATAGGCAACTTCTGATGATCATCATATTCCAATTAAATGATCACTGTGCTATAACACCTTTTTTAAAGATTACAATCTCAATACCTATTGGATCAATATATGAAATGACTTTACATAAGAAATAGCATTTAAACAGATTATAATGTCAAATACCATATAGGTTCTATTCAATTACCTTTATTGGAATTGAACTGGTATTTTGTAATCTGACTTGTAAAGTACTAATTATTATATTATAGATCCACAGATTTAAATAAAACATAAATTTTATAACTAGTTTCAATTAAATTTTTTTATATTAAATAAGATATTTCTTGTGATCTTTATTAATAAAATAATTGTTTAATGTTATATAATTAATATTAAAATATTGAAAAATATTATTATATATATTAACTTATTATTATTTTAAATATATTTTTAAAAAAAAATCTTAAAATAAAAAAAAAATATTTAATTTTTTTTAATAAATTTATTCTATTTTGAAAAAATATAAATATAGTTTAAATTTAATTATATTAGTTATATTTAATTAATATTCCTAAATACTAGCATGGATGGAAACTATACATCTTAACAAAAAATTAAACAAAAAAAAACCTAACTGGTTTCAAGAACTCCAAATCAATCAAATCATAATAACAATAATTCAAGAAAGATAATAAAAGAAAAACCATACAAAACTCAACTACAAATTAGCAATCAAACTTCTTAACAAAGAAATCAAATAGACAACAATGTAACATGTAATTGAAAATATTATCAAAAGAAAATAAGCAATTAATAAAATTCAGTTAAATTATAATACTATATTAGAATCAACAACTACTCATTATTATAAGAATGTAAAGAATATCTAATCAACATATCTGAGAAACAATGAGAATGTATCTTTAATAAAGATAAGAATAATTTCATTAATATATCAATACATAAAAACAAAACAAGTTCAAGAGATATATCAAATAACAAACTTTATTAGCAAAGTAGAGTTACTTTAACAAGCATCAATTAAATAATTATAGATAAATTCCAATCCATATATCTTCTACCACCACAAAAAAAAAACTCTTTCCCATTCACTACACATTTCTTAAAAATTTTCTTTTTAGAAAGCTTTCTTTCTTTTGAAAAAAAACTTTCATTAAAGAACCCATAAATAATCGATTAGCAGCACCACATTGTACTTTCCTTGAAGATATAGTTTTTGCTAGTAAAGATAAGTCCCTAAATTAAAGGTGAGAATATAATTCAAATGTCTCTTACTATTAAAAAAGTTTTTTTTTTTAAATATAAGGTCAAAAAAAAAACTATCTACAAAGGTTTTTTGCAATTTAGGTCACTTGATCCAAGTGTTTTTTGAATTATGTCCTTATTAAAGTAATAAATAAATAATTATGTCCCTTTAAAAGGAACATAATGGATCTGTAAAATTTTATATGCTAAATAGTTTAAGAACCCATCCTTATTTGCTAATAAAGAAGCTGTAAGGCCAAAAACAGTTTTCTTTATTTTCAAACAAGTCATCTTGGATAGCAAACTGAAAGTACTATTGGAATTTGAATTGGTTCCTTAATGACAATTCTTACTAAACAAGAGATTGAATACTGCACCACAAGTAAAGTTCATGAAAAAGAGTAGAAAATGTAGGTCTTTTTTTCTGTTCATAATTATGTGTTTTGCCTCAGACTAAATAAAGATTAACAAGAAGGTGTAAGGAGTATGGACCAATCACAAATTAATATAAAATCACACTAGTATACAAAACAGGTTTTTCTTTAGAACAATAAGTAGTTTTTTTCTCTTTGTAGTTTCACAAATATATCCTGCAAATTTTAAAGGGGTTTTCTGCTGATTATTATAGATATTCATATGTAAACATGTACAAATATCTCTATTTTTACTTTTTAACTTTTTTTAGACCTAGTTAGAACCAAGGAAATAACTAGTTTGTAGCTGACTATATCTGGATGGTCTTTTAAGTTTTTGTTCATCAGATGGCAAATAGGAACTTAGAGGCATATATCCTGGCAAATTAGTTCTCCACCTATACTATTAGGGCTCTGTTAATAATATAAGAGATATGGAGGGCAACAAGTCAACTGATAGATAGTATATTTTATCTTAGGTAGTTTAGGAAATAAATAGAGTCTGACAATTGGTCGTAAAATATGTAAGAATATATATAACAATATTCAATAAACAAGATATAGTATATGCTAGTCATTACAAAAAAAAAATCTTTCACCACCACCATAAATCAAAAACAATCAAATCAAACTATATAAATAAACAATCAGCAAATATATAAATACAACAAAAACCGCTCTTAACAAATTTGCAAATATATAACACAGGCTTAATAATATAAAAACATTTATAGTATACATAGACAATTAATAGATACAGATTACAAAATGGAATTTGAATGGTATCTACTATAAATATCTGATACATTATTCCAAGGAACAATTAATAACTTCATATTATCAAGCAAAGCGGAACTGATAGTCATTGCAACATTTCTCTTAATACTATTAGTATATAGCAAAACTATAATTTGTACAGACAGTCAAGCATTAATTGGTGCAATTAACAAAATATGTAACAACTATTATATATTAAGAATACTCAAAAACAACAATATAACCAATATTATTGTATATATTATAAAGCAATAGAAATTCAATATCTTCTTTAAAAAAAATCAAAGCATATAACAATGATCCAAAAAATGGCAAAGCAAATCTACTAACCAAAGATATTAAAATAGAATTTACAATACCAAAAATTTGCTTCAAATTAATTTTGAACAATAAAATAAAATAGTCTCAAAAATGGAATAAACAAACCTTAAACAATACAATTACAGAAACTATTAGAAACTTGATTAAATCAAATACATCCTTAGTTAGAGAATGCTAAACAGAAACTTGATAACAACAAGTGAAGATACAAAAAACAATATTATATAGAAAGAATCAATGATTAATAAACACTTTTCAAAAATTATAACAGGTAATATCAATCAACATGACCATAATATTGGATTTTTTAGACTCAAACTCTGAAGCCTAAAACTTCTATCCAAAAACAATCTATATAATAGATCAGCAAAAACATATACTGACAATCAATGCATATACTGCAAACAGATCAAAACTAATATACATATAATGACCTTTATATAACACAAAAAGGATATTTTTATAAAACTCAAACAGATCATCATTAAAAAAGTTAGTAGCCAAATAAAGAAACAGATAAAACATAAACTCAAAAACAAAATCAGAAAACAAAAACAAACATAGACACAAGAAATCAAAAACTATATAACAAGAGAAGTACTTACCAATAATCTGACCAGCATAATTAAAAAATATATACAATCAAATACATATTAAGAAACTATCAAAGCAATTCACAACTGTCTATTAAATAAATTACAAGAAAGATAGATATACAGATGTGCTAGTTTCACAAATTGGGAAAAAAGAAACAACATAGAAAGAAATGAGAAAAAAATCTGAAATTTGAATAATACTTTTTATTAGATATCACAATATATAATTTAGGTGCCTGTTTGCGATTTTAAAAATATATATATATATATATAATTTAGGTCTAGTAGTATATAATTTTAAAATCAAATTTTATTTTAAATATCTTTCATTGTATTTTTTCAAACAAAAAAACCTATTACTATACAATTCTTATTTAATTTTTTTTTTTGTAAATAAA